ATAGTAATTCAGAGCCCCAAGTTCTGGTACCCAGACACATGGTCAACACAGCAGCAGCCGTAAGCCGTCTAATTCTCGGAAGCATGTAGTATGCTACAGATACATAGATACCAGGTTACTAACCATATACTATGTACCCAAATAACTATTAGGTAACTGGAGCCCGGGGATATGCAGACGCTTCAGAGGATAAGGGAGAGAGGCGCTAAACTGAAGTAGTCGGGTTTGGGGTTTAGGGTTGGGTCCTTATTGTAGCGACCCCTTGAAATTGAAAAACACTGCCTCTCTCGCTCGGCGGTCAAGTCGTGACTGCTACGGAGTCGGCGGCTTGCTTTTTGGATGTGTAGGTTTCTGGTTTTTTGTTCGACTTGTGGGTTTCTGATGGTTTTAAGAGTGGTGCGAGGTGTATCCCTATTCGATGAATATGGCTGGTACATAAACACCCAGAACATTGGGCCCCAGCCCTAACTCTAAACCTTAAGCGGGGCTGAGGGATCGGTCGAGTACTCCTGCTTAATTCCTGATTCCTCGCATTCCCGACCCTAGCCAGGAGCATGAATACAGGCAACAATCCCGAAGCCCTGAACCCCAAATAACCTGGCATTTTTAAGACTTACATCATACATAAGGAAATCACACAACCTCGCATGTTGAGGACTTACATAAGGAACTCTTACGTAAAATGAGAAACCCTAAGAAAGGAGGTCCTCCAGGGTTCAGGTAAGCCCTGGACATAAACCTCAACGCTAAGTCTAAAAACCTAGCTATGACTGCACAAACCTGCATGCCGACCCCACATGATCAGGATTCGGAACGAGCGGTTTTTTCGGTTAGTTCGGGCCGCAAGATCGAAGCTCACATGTTGCAAGTCCGAAGCCCGTGCTCCAACCTAGACCCTAAACCCTAAACCCCAAACCCTAAGCCCTAAACCCTAAACCCTAAACCCTGACCTAAACCCTAACCCGACCAAAAAATCAAACCTGACTCCAGCCCTCGGGGGCCCCGGGCGGCTTTGGTCCAAGGCGGGGTCTTGCGCCCCAACACCATCCTCGAGAGATTTCAGCACCTGTCAGAGGCTACAGGAGCATACAGAATTGTGCAATAACAGGGATTCTGGAACGGTTTAGGGTGTAGGGTTGTATTACGGGCACGGAGAGAATGGCCGGTGCAAGAAGAAGGCTGTTGCGAAGAGCCAGAAGACCGGCACCACAGCGACGAAAAACTGCAGTAGCAATCACCAACAGCATCTTCACCTAACATCGGCGCAACCATCAATGTCATCAAAATCTGGCTCTTCGTCCCCACCCGCATGCCCATCGTCAGTACCAGACGAAACCTGGCGAGGCTACAGATGCTACAGTGTAGGAACTTGGAATGGAACGGGAAACAGTACGAGCGGTTGCAAGCTTCAAGATCCATTCTTGGTCATATGTCTGCGAGTTTATTGTCAATTCAGCGTCTGGTTTTTGGTTTCGAGGGTTTAGGGAAGTTTAAAGCTCTTTTGCCTAGGGTTTAGGAGTTTAGGATTAAGTTTAGGCTGCTCTTGTCTGCGGCAGCGCGCCGGATCCTCCATCACTGTCGGCGCGGTGGATTCCACAACCGGGTGGCCTCGCTATTTGATTCACTTGCTCGCTCTTGGTGACTATTACCATTCCTAAAGAAGCAGTAGTCCTGAACCATCTACAGATAGTAGCGTAGTGCCAGAAGATCAAAACAGGCCCAAGACAATAGTGAAGTAATTCCCGAACGCACGGACTTTTCGCAACTCACTGAACTTGCCTCCCTGCTCGAAACTGGAATCGAGGAACCGACACCCCGAAACTCGGGAAGACAACTTTCGGTTTAGGGTAATGTCGGGGGCTGAATAAGTAGAATAGGGTTTCGGGGTATATTATGTTATAACTATAATAAGGAACCCACAAGATAGTATAGGTAATTATTAATATAAAGGCCCCTATGTTAATCCGTGTTTCAGGACCCAAGTTGGAGCACGCTTCCAATGCCAAAAGGCCTCTTTAACTTTAGAGTCGGAACTGCGGATTCCACCGATCGGAGAACCACTGCAACAAAATAGCATTGTTCTTTTTTTGTGATTTGATTACTACATACTATTACTACTGCCATGATTATGATTATTGGTGCTCTTATCCTTGTTCGTGGTAGTGTTACAACACCACACCGATGTGGCCACGTTTCCAAGCACTGAGGCCATGGCCATCCAGGGAGCTAATCGCAGCGACCACCTTGACACAGGACCCTAAACCCTAAACCCCAAACCCTCAACCCTAAATCGTGTGACAAGAAGGCAACAGCTGCTAAGGGCTCTGGGTTGGGGATTCGTTTAGGGGCTTTGGGTTTGCAGCTTCGGGCTGAGAGTTACAGCTTCGGGTTTCGGGTTTACCTTTGAGCACCTCTTTAAGTTATGAATCTTGGGGGTGTTCTCGACCATGCTCGGCGATCCTCCACTATGATCGGTTTAGGGTTTGGGGTTTAGGGTTTACGACTATGAGCACTGCATGGGCCTTCGTGGGAAGTAACCTATCGGCAGGGCCGAAGCTGTAATGGGAGCTGCAACCGGAGCCGAGTTCCAAGCCCCCTATAAGTACCTGTTTAGGGCTTACTGGCGTCGACTCTCAGACTACCGGAACTTTGACCTGGGGTAGCTCCGGACTGGAACTGTCTAGGCCCTAGGCTTTGAGGATCTGGGGGCCTCTGGTGGAATGTAGGATCTTGCCAAGAGCCCCCTAGCTTGCATGGCTTTGGATGGGGTCTGCGCCTTGTCCAAGGCAGGTTCTCCAGCTGGAGCTTTGCTGCTCTCCCGCGTCTGCGCCTGAATTGGAGGACGGGTGCTTTCTAGGGTCCCCAAACCCTAACCCCAAACCCTATGTCGGCCCTATGTACACCCTAAACCCTGGCTTTACAGACCCCCTCTGGTTTGGCGCTCCGTACATGCTCATGACAGTTTAGCGGCAGCTTTGCAGAAGAAGGCACTCAATGGATTCGCCGGCTGAGGGTAGGGGGGTCCAGTGCGCATTCATTCTAGCATCCAGTGCGCATTCACCTACAAGCAGGGTCCAGTGCGCTTCCTTTGTCTTTCAAGGTTCAGGGTTTAGGTTTTAGGGTTGAGAGGTGAGAGGGTTTAGGGTTTAGGGTTCAGGGTTCAGGGTTGCGAGTTTAGGGTCTAGGGGGGGTTCAGGTTTAGTGTTTAGGTTTTAGGGTTTTGGGTCCAGGGTTTAAGGGCGTACAGGGTTTGTTCGTTCAGGGATTCAAGGCTAAAGGTCTTTGATGCTTGAGGTCCATGGTGAAAGATGGCGGGGATACTAGTGAACTAGGACGAGTTTTGATGAATGACGCTCCTTTTCAAATGATCAGAAGTCCTACTCCGTCACACTTTAGCGTAATCCCTGAATGCAGTCCCGAACAACAACAACATCAGCTGCAATCACCTCCCCTCACGACCCTGTACCTGCCACCTCCAGTACTGCTTTGAAAGCGGCTAGATCCAGATGACTCAACATGCCGTATTCATACCCTGCATTCAACCCTGACAGAGCGTTGGTAAGAAGCACATTAACGGAACCCTATCCTGATTATTAGGAACCCTATCCTGATTATTAGTCATGGCCCCCAGAGTAGACCCTGTCCCCTAAACGCCTAAGCGCTAAGCCCTAAACCCTATGAGCCTCAACCCCAGACGCCGGAGACGGAACTGCGAGGCTTAGCACAGGAACCCTGAAGCTGAGTCCCTACACTCTGAACCCTAAATCCTACACCCGTAGACCCTAAACCCCAAACCCGTAGACCCTAAACCCTAAACCTACAAACTCTAAACCCTAAGCCCCTGAAGCCTAAACCCGTAAACCCTAAACCTTTTTTTCCCGAAACCCGTAGACCCCAAAGGACCCCTAAAGCGAGTTCGGACGGAACGCAAGCACCTCCCCAAGGCCTCCAGTGTGGCCACGGCCTGCCTCACAACATCCAAGACCTCCTCCGAAGGTTTAGGGTTTAGGGATTATAAGGTTTAGGGAAAAGGGTTTAGGGATTAGGGTTTAGGGATTAGGGTTTAGGCTTGAGGGCTTGGGGTTTGGGGCTTTGAAGAATAAACACTTCATATTGACATCAGCCACCAAGAATCAGGCAGTGATGAACTTTTCGACTTCTAAACCGCAAGCGGATCACAGAGTCCTCATCCTGACTCTTGCCGGTTGTCGCTCTCAGAAGCAACAAATGTATTGGTAACGTGGGGGCCTTAATGATTCTAATAGGGTTTTGGGGTATACTGCACTGTGATTATAATAAGAAACCCCAATATTGTAGTGTAGGTAATCATTTAGACTCCTATAGTAATTCTCCGTCGCTGTCGCTAGCAGTTGCTGCAACAGCAGCAGTAGTAGCAAGAGGAGTGACAGCCGTGGCAGTGGCCACAACCAATATCATTTAGTGTTGCGCTGCAACCGTGGCTAAATAACACGCTACTGTTGTATCTCTTGTGATCCAAGGAGAAACATAACCTTCGACCCGGAAGATTTTAAAGGCCTTTAACCCTTTTTCAGCATGGGCTTGGATTGTGTGCCAGCGAACACACCTCAACAGCAGGGCATTGTCGTTGAACGAGGGATGCAACCGGAGATGTGACAGAAACATAAGCATGAGGCAAGTAGCGACAATCTTCCGAATTAGAATTAGAATTTGTAGAGCTACAAGGCCGACATGGGATTGCGCAGAAACCGTAGTTGATGCAACGACCTGCGATGACTGACCCACATGTGGTCTCGCAAAGGTGTGATCACAGCGAGCTCATCCTCATGCAGCTGGCTGACACAGACTTGAACGACCCAGGCATTACCCAGCATGACTGATTTGATGATGGCAGAGCTCCACTGTGCAACATCAGCAGTATGCACAAGGGCGTTGTACAACCATCCTTCTTAAACCCTAAACCCTAAAACCCTGAACCCTAAAACCCTAAACCCTAAACCCCAAACCCTAGACCCCAAAACCTATTGTCCACTCCTTGTCATCTGTTGGCGGGGTCGTGGGAGCCGAGATCTTTCCCGGCTTTAGCTGGAGAAGCGACGCGTTACCTCGGGTTTGGGGTGCAGAGGGCTGAGTGGGGTTTAGGGGGTTTGGGTTTAGGTAGGGTTCAGGGTTTAGGAGCTTGTTTTCACTCTCGACACCATTCTTCCCGTGACTGTGGCTTTTGAAGAAACTGATTCCGTTACCGCTCTTGTTAAAAGGTCTTAGGGAAGGGTCATGGGCTTCTAATTCTTAGGGCTTGACCGGTTGTTCACTCCAGAAATCTACAGCTTTCAGGGTTGCTATGGAGCTCGGGATCGGGCGCCTCAGAATCTGATAGTTGAAGAGAGTTCGCCGTGTGTGCTTGGTTAAATCTCTCTCAAGCCTCCCATGGAAACCGAAAGTAAAAAGCAAAACTGAATCTCCCAAAACTCCAAACTACACCCTCAACCTTGAACTCTAAACAAAAATTCTCTAAACCGCCGAAACCCTTTCTTGGGCTTGGGTTGAGGCCTTACAGCCTTACCTTCCCCCCACTAGCTCCCTGACCCTTCGCCTTACACCTTCAAGCTCTGAACTCTTCCCCTATACACCCTGAACGCTGAACACCCCCTTGAAGCCCCGAAGCCTTTTGCAACTGGCTTGCAACGTCACGCCAGGACAGCTGACTCGTTCCAGGCTGCACTCTCTGAACCCCAAACTTTCCCCCGTGAAGCCCCCACTTCTGAAGCCTTACACAAAACTGGGAGGCCAGCGAACGATGCCATCCCCGGCGCTTGCCACCTCAACGCTTCAGTTTATTGCCTTGGAAACCCTGAACAGCTTAGGTACAGCGCTTAGGGTTTAGGATTTGGGGTTTAGAGTTTAGGATTTGGGGTTTCAAGGGCTCCGGTTTAGGATCTGGGGTTTATGGCTTACGGCACTACAAAGCGTGGAGGTAGGAGACGCTAGCGCTGGACCTCCTGCTCAGGATCTCGGGCCTGTGGGCTCAGGGTGTACGCCCTCGGAATTCGTAGAGTCGTAGAGTGCAGGCTTTAAGGCTGTAGAGTTTAGGGTTTGAGACCTCGGAAACTGTTGAAGACGCTGTAGAAGATCAAGGAAACCCCCCCCCCCCCAGGTACCTACTATATAGGGTACTACAGCCCCTGGGGCCCTACATTGTAGGTACCTGGAGGGCTAGGGCCTGTTACCGAACCCCAGAGGAACTCAACACTGACAGGTCGGGGAAGAGGTTGGAAGATGCAGAACCCCTCGACTTGGCATGAGCTGCTGGCATGACATGGGAAAGCTAAAACCCTAAACCCCTAAACCTCAAACCCTACACTCTCTCCCTCTCTCTCTTCCCCCCCTGGGGCAGTCAGTGGCCTGTCAGGCTAGTTTAAAAACCCCAAACCCCAACACCCCCCCCCAAAAAAAAGAAACAAAACCCTTAATTATACCCTAAAACCCAAAACCCTAAACCCCTAAAGCCCTGAACCCTACACCCCTAAAGCCCCCCAAAACCCTAAACCC